TGCTTTCGCGCTTCGTTTACAAGGGGTACGGGAGCGGCGTGCTCGGGGCCTTGACTGGGACTGCATACTACGTCTGGTATCTGCGCGCGATGGGGGCAAAGATCGGTAAGGACTGCGCCATATATCCAGGAGGGAGGGCCGGCCTGATGACCGAGCCGGATCTCGTTCGCGTGCGTTACACTCATATCCTCCGTGCCCCCATGTTCACAGCGTACCTCCACAGCTGGGCAATAACACCTCTCTAGACGACTGCTCTGTCGTGGCGCACATCAACTCCAGGGGTAACTTTGCGCTCAACAGCTTGGAGATCGGAAATGGGTGAGTCGCCGTCAATTGGAACCATAGAGCGACCACGAACTGAACATTCCCAGTTGCGCGATGCGATCGGGGTCTCGTCTGCTCTCCGGTGCTTCCATGGAGGATAGAAGTATGCTCTGCGAGCACACCCTCCTCACGTCTGGTGATGTCGCTGACGCGGGGGTCGTATATGCCGGGTTAGTTTTTTGTTGTATTTCAGACATCGATGAACGCTGACCGATCCTTTCTGTGCGTAGGTGGCCAGCGAAGCCGATTGAGAACTCTTGGGGTGAAAAGCTTTGAGCAGGCTCTCGTAGAGAGCTTTTCCTTCAGATAGAGTTTTACTCGATATGAATCCGGAATTTCTGCATCTTTCCTCGCGTCGAAAAATTTTTGTCACAGGATCGCGTTCTTACTTTTGGACACTGTCGGAGATACGACAGGCTTACCTTCAGGACAGAACAGCACCTGGTTTAACTGAGATCCCTTGAAGTGCAGTCCAAATGAGAGGTAAAACAAATGAACGCCGCACCGAAGCATTCGGACGCCAGGAATCGAACCCAGTACTCCCACTTCCAACTTGAACCGCAATCAGTGAGGCATAGTGGGCGTGCGCCATGCACCACGTCCGAGATCCCAGCTACTTCTCGTGGAGTCGCAGTGTGAGCAGGTTTGGGATCGTCGCAGGAACCAAAAACGGAACAACGGAGGAACATTCGGATGCTGGGAATCGAACCCAGTAGTCCCACTTCCAACTTGAACCGCAATCAGTGAGGCATGGTGGGCGTGCGCCGTGCACCACATCCGAGATATCAGCTATTTCTCTTCGGGCATGAGGGACGACTGACATCCGGAATTTAACCCAGTATTCCCACTTCCAATTCAACCGAAATCAGTTAGGCATAGTGGGCGTGCGCCGTGCACCACATCCGAGATACCAGCTATTTCTCTTCGGGTCGCTGTATACAGGGTTTTGGATCGAGCTACCAAAAGAAATCACGAGGGACGACTTACATCCGGACGCCGGGAATTGAACCCGATGCTCCCACTTCAATATGCCTATACAATTTACAAACGTTGCGAAGGCAGAGTGGACGTGCGCCGTGCACCACGTCCGAGATACCAGTTATTTCTCTTCGGGTCGTCGTGTACAGGGTTTTGCAATCGTAGCGAACAAAAACAGAAGTCAAACCCAAAGTGATTCGTTGTTGTTATTGATTCCCCATACTTACCCTTCGCGGAACTTCTTCGCCTTCACATCTGGGGCGGACTCTACTGCAGCTGGGATGCTAGCATGGTCACGAGATGCAGCATATTTAGTGCGGAAAAAGAACTAACATGAACAACCATTCAGACGCCGGGAATCGAACCCGGTCCGCCCACTTAAGCCCGAGAGGAGGGTATCCAAACAGAGTGGGTGTGCGCCGTGCACCACATCTGATTGTTTGTTCCTAACCATGGTGGGGATACAAAACCGAACCGGTCGAGATTTAGAAGAGCGACGAGAAAAAAGGCCTCACCGTGGCGAACGTTCATTCAGACGCCGGGAATCGAACCCAATACAGCCACTTGGAATTCATATGAGAAAACATAGGCAGAGTGGGTGTGCGCCGTGCACCACGTCTGGTTTCTTGTCCCTATCCACAGCGGAAGGGGATGCAAGCGCGAACTCGTGGGGGTTGCTTCACGCGGTCGAGATTTACTTGGCACTTTTGCAGGAGGAGGAGGAGGAGGAGGAGATAGTATTCCTGCAGAGGTCCCGATGAGGAACAAGCAGAATAGCGACGAGAAAAATTTAAAGGCATGCAGTGGATTTACGCCATCCAGACGCCGGGAATCGAACCCAATACAGCCACTTGGAATTCATATGAGAAAGCATAGGCAGAGTGGGTGTGCGCCGTGCACCACGTCTGGTTTCTTGTCCCTATCCATAGCGGAGGGGGATGCAAGCCCGAACTCGTCGAATTTGCTTCACGCGGTCGAGATTTACTTAGCACTTTTGCAGCACAGGTGACAGCGGTAAAAAAGTTCACATGGATGAAGATCCCATTCAGACGCCGGGAATCGAACCCGGTCCACCCACTTGAGATTCATATGACTCCGATGAGCAAGCATAGGCAGAGTGGGTGTGCGCCATGTACCACATCTGACTTATAGTCCCCCAATTTACGGTCAGTGGGATGCAGTATCTTGAAATCGACATAAATTGGTTGTTATTAGTGATTTGTTGTAATGCGACCGAAAATAACACGAACATGGATTTATAGCGTGGAGCCGTTCTGATAATAAGGAGGGAGTTTATCGGGGCCTTACTTCCACAGATAGATAGATAGATTGGAATGCAGGACGTACGCGTGGGGGCGAGAACAGGAACACACACTTGCAACAGGTATTAATACACGTGCCGTGGGCGTGTTGGAGTGACATTGCAGTACGCAAATGTGCGGGATTAGGCAGTTCCCTGTGAGCAGTGGGTGGGATGACACCAGTGATTTGCCGCGGGATGAGTCGTTTACAGGCATGGAGCGCGCAGGGTCCGATATGAGCTGAGCGCGGAGGAGTTGATAAGTCGCCGTGCCGCATTGAATGCGCCTGGTATGCCTACGGCCGCGGGAAGAGAAGACTCCCGCGAGGTCACCGGAGAGCTGTGAATAGATATCCAAGTGTGTATGTGAGCCTGTCGTCAAACAAGGAGTCGTCGTCGACTGTCGTTTGAACGGTTTGAGCACAGCAGAAGGACATTTCGGCCATTTGACGGAGATAGGCATGATATCGAGGGGTGGTGGCTAAAACTCATCGTACGAGGATTCCTGTAGACGGCCATGGGAGACGGAGCGAGAACGGCGTGAGGGAGGAAGGAGAGCCCAAAATGGGAATTGCTTCCGAATGATGGCCGGACTGGTCGGTGTTTTAAAAATTTGGCTCCCTTCCACGACGTGCATGTCCTCTCCTCCTCCTGCCCCCATCCTCCCCGCCTGTCCTCCCCATATCCTCCCTCTATAACCTGCTTGGATCCACCCTCTTTGGCCTTACCTTGCCCTCGTCTGCACCCACAAAAAATGACAGAATACGACTTCAGCGAGGAAGCCATACAACGACACTTCGCCACCCAGGCGCGCATATCGAAGTGGACCCAGTCGACCCACCGAGTACCCCAGGCGGACCCCTTCACGCCGCCTACACCTCTCAACGGACACGCAAACGCCGCACCGCTGCCTGGCCCCAAATCCAGGTCCAAGCACGGTCACCGCCGCTCGCGGTCGAGCGAGCCGTCGTCCTCGTCCCACAAGGACTCGACTAGACGCAGGCGCTCGCCGCCGCCGCCCATCCCCATAGCTGCTCCCAACGCCGTCCCAGTCCCACTCGAGCGTCGCCGCACCCGGAGCAGCGCCCCGCGTCCCAGCACCGCACCCCCAACACAGGCGTTTTACCCCGCACCCCAGCAGCAATACGCCCAACCACCCCAGCCTTACTACTCCTCTGCGCCCCCACCACCACCGCGGCAGAACCACACCCGCTCGCGCTCGTCCTCGCAGGTGCACCTCCCCCCAGCGCCGCCGACGCGCTCGCGGAGCTACTCCGTCCAGCCGCAGCAGCCACACGCGCCCATCCCCGTGCGAGCGAACTCGTACCCCTACGTCCAGCCGCAGACGCACGGGAGCAAGGGGTACGTCTTCCACGTCGCGCCGGGGTACGGATACGCGAATGCGAGCGTACCGCATCTCGCGCAGCCCGTGTACGCGCAGCCGCAGCCGGTGTATGCGGGGTATGGGTATGCGCCGCCGCAGAGGGCGCGGGAGGTGCCGTTGTTGAAGAGGGTGTTTGGGTTCGGAGGGAGTGGGGTTGGGAAGGGGAGGAGTCCGCAGAGGCAGGCGACGTATTGAGGTCTGTGTCTTCGGGTGCGCTCCCATCACCCTCTCCTTTCGCTCCCCCTGCACACATCGCCTCTCGCCCCCCATCGCGCCGCCTTCTACCGCCTTTCCCTCCACCGCGCTTCCTCCCATTTCCCGCATCCACCTTCCACCGCGCATCCTCGCACATACATACACAAACCAAAGTATAATCCACCTACACCTATCCCACACCCTAAATATTCGTACACTTGTCGTACACTGTACATACACACGCACGCTGTATCTGTATCTTGATAGCGGCGATCCAATATTGAACCTGCAGGGCGCCAGGCAAATCACAACTTTACTCCGGGGTTTGGGGTTCGACTCCCGACGTCCGATGATGTAGAATCTAGTAATGTCGTTTTCTCGAATTTTAAGGACACCCGTACGCGTATCCAGGCAAGGCAGCGATGGGCGAGAGTAAGTTCCTTGGGGCGCACGCCTGCCTGCTTGAATAATGGCCAATTGGATTTAAAGTAAGATATTGCAGGGAATTTGGGTTCGATTCCCGACGTCCGGATACGTTCATTGAGGAATAGACACCTCTTTTTGCCCCTTTGTCGGGCCAGCTGACAATTTCTTGGTTGGCTCACACAAGTCAGCGAGCAGGGAGGGTACCTCGGACGTGGTGCGCGGCGCACACCCGCAAATCATGGGCCGGTCAGGTTTGATTATGGCGGGAGAGCGGGTTCGACTCCCGACGTCCGAATTCGGAATAGCTCTGAAAGTTTCTTTGCTTTTTTTTCTTCCTTCGCCCAAGCTGACACTTTTAGGTATACTTACAGCTCGACGGCTAGGAAGTGTACCTCGGACGTGGTGCATGGCGCACGCCCGCGAATAATTGCTGTGTTCCACTGTAACTCTTGCGGCGGGTGAACGGGTTCGATTCCCGGCGTCCGAATTCGGAATAGCTCTGAAAGTTTCTTTGCTTTTTTTTCTTCCTTCGCCCAAGCTCATACTTTCAGGTATGCTTACAGGTCGGAAGCGAGGATAAGTATCTCGGACGTGGTGCGCGGCGCACACCTGCGAATAATTACTGTTTTCCACCCTTGCGGCGGGGGCACGGGTTCGACTCCCGACGTCCGAATTCGCGACTAGGTAGCTTCCTTGCTTTTTTTCCCCGACACTTTTAGGTATACTTGCAGCTCGGGGTGTAGGAGGCGTACCTCGCCGCTCGGACGTGGTGCGCGGCGTACACCTTCATCTGAATGATGATCATGATCAGAGGATCCCTTTTCTCTAGAGCCTCTTCATTCAGCCAGGTCTCACGTGGGAAGTACATATAGTCCGGATATCGTCCATCGAGCTATCGGTGCTCAGAGCTAATTCGACTCAGACTGACAGTTTCCGTGATTCACAACACACCCTGCACAATTTTATGGGTTCAGAGAAGATCTATCATTTAAAGGGTGTTGCACGACACACCACAGCTCAAACCGCAATGGGAGCAGTGCGCCGGTGGCCGATAAACTTGCCCATTCGACGTTGTTCCAGATGAAGGTTCACATTGAGTGGGTTGGTGGACTTTGCGAGGTTGGATTCACAGCCCAAGGTCACAAGAAGTAGAGAACAGTCGGGGCGAGGTGGGACATGGAGGGAAGAAGGCAAATCAAGGGAGAAAGAGCAACGCCGATACGCGGCTGATGGTTCCGATGATCCGCCGATGTGGTTGAATTCAACCGAATTGAAACAAATGGTTGAAATTCCCGCTGAATGCCCCAAATCACAAAGCAAACCCAACTTGTCCCTTATTCTCAGTAACAACTCAAGACCGCGACAGGCCGCGACAGGTAGACCTCAGACGGGTCTGCGTGACTTGGGGTTGGCATGGGTCGAACTTACGGCAATATTTTCCCACGGTTGAAAGTATACATCCAAATTGTTGTCTTTATATACCTTTTGCTGTGCTTGCTATTCTTAGCCCCATCATCTGAATCTGCCGATTCAGATATTCTAATCTACGATCCAGATATTCTTATTGTTGGCTAATACGTTTCATATCTTCTGAGATATTCTCTGACACGTTTCACATTGGAGAGCGTATGAGGCATGGGGAGGTCTGGTCGGGTCGGGCCCGACCGGACCCGACCCGGCCAAGGGGCTGTGCTGCACGTGCTTGGTCGGGTCGGGTCGCGTCTGAGCCACTCCCGATTAAGCCACCACGTCGCCAAATGTCCCCGCCTCCCTCTTCCTTCCTGCTCGTCGTCTCCGGCCCCAAAGTGCTCAACATGGTCCTGGCTGTGTACTGGAGACACAGGGAGACCCCTATGGTGGACCCCGGGGCCGCGTCATCATCTCAAGACTCGGCAGTGCTTTGACCATGGTCGAAGGCCAGTTGCCGCCAAAGCAGCCATACTCTTCGACACGACGCTTTCTGCTGCTTTGGTAGCTCTACTGTATTTAAGCTACCAATGCATTCTCTTTTTACTACCCATCCACTCTCAGTCCCAGTTTCCGTGCCTCCAATGGACCCTCCTCCGCAACATCCGCAACGCGTACCCGATCCCATTATTACGATTGCTCATAGCTGTTTCAAGTGTAATGGCCCTCTTGCCGACCTACGTGTTCACGAGGGCAGCGGGTCAACTGGTATCGCTTCTCGCGGAAAGATTGTACAATCGGTCAGTACGACTTGCTTTGCCGTGACCATTCCCCTACTTATATATCTTACAGTGCAGATCATGTCATATCTCGACCTTGCACACCGCCGCGTACGTCTTTGACGACGCCCAGCATCTCCTTGTTCGCGTCCGAGCCCGTCAATTTGGGCACGCTGTCCCGCACGCCTCTGCGGTGGCGCCTCTCCGTTTCGCGCCGCCACCGGTTGCGAGACCCGAGGGACCCATCCAATGCTGCGAGCCGGGCTGCACAACCCGGGGCGGCACCCCTCGCCAGGCCGCGCAGAAATGCATTGAGCTCAAGTGCCGGCCCTGTTGCATCGACGCCGCCGCATCCGCGGTGCAGAGCGGCGCGTATCGTGATTATTGCAAAGCACACTCGGTGAATGGTAATGCTGGCCCACCTGCTGCTCCTGCTGGCGTCCCGCTTCCCCTCCCTCCACCACTCCATGCCCAGCCTGGACCTGGATACTTTGCTCCGCAAGCACCTGTTCAACTTGCTCCGCCTCACCTGCAGTATCCACCATACCGGTTCGACCCTGGCGGTAACGTGGTCCCTGTAAACCCTGCCCCCCTTCCGCCTCAACCTCAACCTGAGGCGCAGGTCGGTCACGGCAATCCTCGCGGGGCCGGTCCAGCTCGGGGCGTAGTCCGCGGTCACGTTGGTGCTCCCGGCGACCGAGGGCTTGCTCGACCAATGAGTATAACTTGGGTTAACCAACACCTCGATTCCCAGGACCTGGTTGATACCGGGAAGATCGCGCGCCAGAGGCTCGACGTGAATCACACCGCCGACCTGATTGTCTTTCATACCGTGAGTCAAGTTACTTTGCTAACCGCTATATTCACGTCTAATTCCGTTCCAGAAGGGCGCGAATCCTCTACAACTCCAACTCCCAGCCCCATCGTTCCCCCAAATGCAGCTTTCCGCACACCCCGCCCTCCTACAATCCTTAGAGATCGCCGACGCGGCGTGGATCGATCTGTACACCAACCCTGGGTGGAAAACGATGCAGCTATCAACCATATTTGCCGTCGAAACACCGTCCGACCATCATTCGCATCCGACCCAGTCTTCTTGTGGAATTTCGCATGGAGGATTGCCCGGGGCTCAACGAGATCATATCTCAACAGTCTCGCAAGCGCGTCGGATCAGCTCTCGTTTCCCCTCCAAAGAAAATAGCACGCACTGACGCCGCTGTGGCCGCGCCTGCCGCGCAGGGTCACGTCGTCGAACCTCCCTCCCCCACCACACCCTCATCAGTTGCTCTTCCTTCCCCCGCCCATCCTCCCGCATCCTCCACCGTGCTCACTCGCCCAGCGCTGGTTGGGAAGAAGTTTCCCCACTCATTCTTTGCGGTTGAACATCAGGAGGGATGGGGCTACTACGACCAACTCCAGGACTCCGGCACGAAAACCAGTATTGCCAAGGCCTGGCCAAACCTATTCCCGGGCTCCGACTATTTTAAAACAACGGTCACGGCGTATCGCGGCATGTGGGTGAAAGCTCCTGACGAGATCAAGGCCTACTTTGCTTCTCTGGGATGCACACCAGAGGGATCCTGGGCGGCGTTCGCCGCAGCATGTAAAGCCGATACTGCCGGCCAACCGTGGCGTCCCGAGCCGCTGACAGTTCAGGTTGCTGAACCCACCGCTCTCCTGTCTGTTTCCGCACCGGTGGGTGCACTGAAACCAGCCTCCGCACCGGCGGCCGAACAGCTCTCTATCCCTGCAGTGGCTGAACGGCTTTCGATTCCGCCAGTGGATCCTCCTGCGCCATTCTCATTCGATTCCTCCGATACCATACTTCCGGGGCAACTAGGCCTTTGCTCGTTTTGCGACACGCCATTCACTGTCGCTCTTTCTGCTAAATCTGTCGGCCACTTGGAGAAGCTCATTCCTACGTCAACTGTCTCTCCGACCTCTGTCAATCCAAATCATCGGGTGGCGTCTCTCTCTCACCAGGCCAACCTCTTCTGTAAGCAGCACAGAACCGACTCTCTGCTCCTTCCCCAGGCCCGTGAAAATCACTGGCCCGAACACATCAACTACGCCGAATTATCCGAGCGGACGGAGAATGTCGCGATGATTCCTTTACAAGAAATCCTCGAGGATCTCGACGCTAGTGATTTCTTTAGTGCCGCGACAACGACTCCGGCCAGATTCAAGAAATTAACTGCATAGTATGTTCTCTGATCAGTTTTTACCGTCTTCTCTCTGACATTATCTGCAGTTTCGGCGAGCTTGGCTACGCAGTAATCTCACGCACCATTCAAACCCTCTTCCCCGCCGCAACTATCGCAGACAAATCTGCTTTGCTGCCGTGGGAACTGACCGAGCAGGTGTTAATTCCCGAGGCGCTCAGCTGTCTCATTGTCGATGAACTCCAGGTTCCCGTGGAGGAGGCCTTAGATATAATCGCTGACAGCACTCCGTTCGGTCTAGAATATCACTCCGACGTCTCAGATCGCGAGCGATGTGTAGCAAAGCTTCGCGAAGAGGTGGCCACAACCTCCCTACCCCTTACCCCCTTTCCTATGTCGTCCCCACTTCCTTCCCCTTCCCCTCCCAGCTCATCCCCTACCGTCCTCCTCGCACCTGCCGTCTGGGAAGATGACAGACACAAATCCACACCACCGCCCGATCCTCTCACCCTGTGCAATTTCTGCGACCAGGTATTCCCACTAAACCCGAGCGACTCACTCGTTGCCCTCGGAAAGAAGCTCCGCAATATGTCGTGGCCTGACTCGCTTCCCGAAAATCTCCACCATCGCAGGGGTCTCTCGATTCAGAAGACAGCCAACTACTGTGCTCAGCACCGCTTCGAGCAGCAACATATGCCGCGCGCCATCTTTGAAGGCTGGCCTCTCAAGCCTCACTTCAAGAGCTTTTTCCACCGCATTCTTGACCTGGGACAGCCGCTCCGTAACCTCTTCCAGGTTCCAGGTCAAAGCACCTTCTTCACCTCGGCGATTGAACACTACGGCAACCAAGTTACGCATCGCTCATCCATTGGCTCACAGTACTCGGATAACAGGTCGTCTCAACATGGTGCAGGATAGTGAGCTGGATTCCTGCCGCTATAATTGTGCTCGATGCTAACGCACCTTTTCAGTTATGGTGAACGTGGCTATCAGCTGTTGGACCCGACCATCCGATTCATGTTTCCCGACTCTCCCGACCTTCTTACAAAATTCCACCCGCTCACCTACGACATCATAATCCGCGAAGTCCTTATACCCGAGGCCGCCATTCGCCTCGTCGCGAGCGACCTTGGCATTGC